AAGTATTGTCATAATTATTATATCCAATTGATGATGAATTGTCATCACCGTCACGGTTATAATTATAGTTGTCATTAATATTAACAGTGTTATTAATAATATTATTACTATAATTAATATTACTATTATTATAACTGTTTGAAGAAATTTCAGGGCTTGGATAAATTGATTTGATCATATTATTTGGCTCATTGTCATAATTGGAAGGATAAATTACTTCTGTTGATAATGGTTGCTTGTTATTATTGTAACTATTAACATAATTATAATCATAATTATTGGGTGTGTTTAGACTAAAATCGTAATCAGTCGAAGATAAATCAGGACTTGGATAAATCTCCACATCCGTAACATTTTCTCTGCCAGGCGATGACAACGATGATTCGAATGTTATGGTGGTGATGGTAGCCATATCATTCGTAGAGTTTGATTCGACGGAATCTTGAGGAGTGTTTAATAAATTATCGGGGTGGAGAATAATATTGTTATTAATGAATGAAAATGAAGGAGTGATAGTATTACTATTACTGTTGTTATTAATGTTATTAGGATTCTTCTTATTTTTATTTTTATTTTTATTATTATTATTGTTAGTTGATTTAATGGATTTAGAAGATTTTAAGTTAGATTGTTTTTTAGAGGGTTTTGAGTATGGTGTTGAAGGGATTGAAGGGGAAGGGGAACAAGGATCGAACCTTGAATCATTACTAGGTTTATTATCATCAAATGATACAATATTCCATTTTTCGCGTTTTTTGTGTTTAGAAGCTTTTGGATAATTTTGTTTGTAATAAGCGCCTGCTTCATCGGCCAAACGCTTATACTCATCCTTAACAATTTCCGGTTCTTCTTTCCAGGCTTGTGACGATATTGAAGAGATGACGGTCATTGGAAACAAACAGCCTTTAGAACGAATGGTTTCTACACAAGCCTTTCTATAAATGATAAAAGCATTAGGAGCTCTGTATGGAGCTTTACAAATGCTATTACCATCACTATCATGTTTATTGCTGTTATTATTTCTACGATCGTTTATTGTTATTAAATCCTGAAGTTTGGTCTTTGGAGGAAATTCAGGTCTGAAAAATGGGGTTGATGTACCATTGATAACTTGATTTGGACTATTAGGATCACTTGAATCTATGAAAACACATTCTCTTTGACGTATGATTGTTTTATTTGATTTATTTAATTTATTAATATTATCATCAGTATCAGTGTTCATGGACATTTTTCTATATATTATATCTAGTTTTATATTTACTATATATGATTTAACAAGATTCAAGGCTCTATTCTACTGGTTAATTGAAGTAAGGCTATGGGTGAATATGTCTGAGAATAATAATGGGGGGAAATGATGATGACTATGAAAGTAAAGAGAAAAAGAAATAGAAAGAAAGAAAGAAAGAAAGAAAGAAAAAATACGCATGTATTTATTTGATTTTTTTTTTTAAAAAGTCAAAATAGATTTGATTGTTTATATTTCTAATTTATAAAAAATAAAAATCTAACATGCAAGTTTCATTTTTTTGACTATTTTTATATTTTTTTTTTTTAATAATATTAACATATCTTTATAATACCGCATGATCAAAAAACTTCAAAAGAAATTAAATTGATATTATCGTTGTAAATAAAGATTTATCTTTGTAACCTGTTTTTAGAAATTTGTTTGTAGCTTAATTTGGACGTATTATGTACAACTTCATTGATTTATACAGATTATACAATGATAAATCAATTAAATGAACGTATGGCACGAATTTATTTTTGTTTTCTCTTTTCAACTGCCCAACTACACAAAAATAAGTATTGTAAATGTATGCGTTTACACACTCTCACACAAGTTTCGATAGCATGCATGTCTTTTAATAACCTTTGTATCTATTAAAAAGAAAGAATTCTTTATTTCCCTGTCACTTAATAAAAATGAACAATTCTTTATCCACCTTTTACAAAATAATTCTGTCATACTAATAAATTTAATTCTTTACCTTTTGCTAATATGGTTGGCTTGGTCTAAAGACCTCCCATTGCTGCGCCACGCGCTCAAATTTCAAAAATTGCAATTTCGTGATTCGTTCAAAAATGCAATAAATTTTTTAAAAAAGGGTTAAAGTGACTTTGATTAAAAAACTATTTTCCTTACTGCCAAATTTAGATAAGATGGTCGAGCATTAGGCTAAATTTAGGAATTATGATCAAAAACTAGTCTAAATTTAGCAATGATCCTAGCGCTCAAATTTCTCATGAGCATAGTAAAGTACATGTTTTAAAAAAGGATAGAACTCTACAATACAAAATTTTTTTGGAGAAAATCTCTTCATCACATTAAAAGTAGAAACCTATTTTACCAATAATGAGGCTATTTTTTTAAAAGGTAGAACAGAAAATGACTTTTATACTTTTAAAATTTGCCCAAAATTTAGGAGGTCTTTAGACCAAGCCAACTATAATAAATTTAATTCTTTATATTCTTTATTATTATTTACCAAGTATAAAATTTAATTCTTTATCATCTCTTACAAAAAATCAATTCTTTAAAGAAAAAGTATTTTAATTTAATAACGTCGCACAATTTTTATTGGATAACAATCACGTGAAAGTCACGGGAATGCACTTAGAGAGGGAGTTTTATAAATATGGGAATGAAAAAAGACTGTGCAGTGCAGGGGGAAGGGGGTGTGCACTTATCTCTAATTCCCAAGCTTAGGAATTAATGAAAGCATGCACTTAGAGTGGTTGACTATATGAAATTTATAAAATAATAATTATCAATAGATTATTTTTAATCAAAGGTCAGTATTAAAATAAAGCAATAAACAAACAATTTTATCCAAAGATTTATGAGTAAAAATTTTCTAATAGACCAATACAAATAATTGATAGATTATTTGTCCAAATGTTTGCGAGTAACAACTTTCCAAGTTTTTAAAATAAACCAATAAACAAGCAATTGATAGGTCATTTGTCCAAATGTTTGCAAGTAACAACCTTTTCCAAGTTTCTAAAATAAATCAATAAACAAACAATTGATAGATTATTTGTCCAAATTTTTGCGAGTAACAAAATACTAAAAATATATTAATAAACCAACAATTGATAGATTATTTATCCGAATGTGTGCAAATAACAAATTTTCCAAGTTTCAAATAAACCAATTGATAATAAAGTCAATTAGATTATAAAGAATTAAAGCATTTAAATCTTCGAAAAGAAAAATGGAAAAACTAATATTACAACAAATAATTTTAATCCACATGTATTCGTTTATTTCTGTATTTTAGATATCATTAAATTTTTTTGTCGGTCATGATCATCAGTGTTGTACATGGGACATTGGGGTGTT